TACTATCTAGCCACAACGGGACGCTATAAATGCACGCAATTTCCTATATGAATGACTTACAGACTCTACTAAATTTCTTCATTATCGATCGTGTTCTGTTTGTCTGTCATGCTAGGTCAGGGCACGGCAGACGTAATTCGGGTTGCGGTTTCATAATCAATCCGCACCTGGGAGGGGGGAGGCATGATGGCACATGAAGGTGCAAGCTCATGCTGCGCCGGCCACCCATCGCCGATCCTGCCTCTGGTCATCTGGACTCTGCCTTGACACCGGGCACAGATGGTTGAGGGAAGAGAGAGGGCGGTAGATGCTGCGCAAGTCTATCCCTTAAAACTAATTCACGCACAATTCATCGTCCTTGCACACCTCCCGTGAAGCACACGGTGGAGATCGTGGTATGCGACGGTTCAACTGTCGGTTTGGGACAACAGTTGACCAAACATTTGATTCGCGTTACTGTCTACCACCAGACCGGATCATAACAGATTATGAACCATCCATCTCCAGTGAAAGCCTGCTCAACGCATTGCCTTGAGCTGATGTTTTGCAACTTCTTGTCTACACTGTTTCAGTAGTCCATAGTAGTAAATACTTTGTTCTTATAACACTCTTATGTTTGCAGCGCAACAATTAAACTGTTACTTTTGATTTGTTTGAGTTCAAGATGAACTGCATTTATTTTCGCCATCAAAGGGTGCTGCGAGTTAAGCGTACATTACGATACCAGACTCTTGACAATGTTCGCTGACTTTGTATAAGTTGCAGAGGAAATTGCGATTTTTATATACGGGCGAGGGAATGAAGACAGTTGAGTGCACCTTTACACGGCAGGATGTCTATTCCCGAGTGAGCTGTGAAAACCACCACTGTTCTGGGCAAAAGTAGTTTACGTAGTGAACCTCATATACTCCTAGGCCTAGCATTTTGTCCTACGGAAACGGTGGTTATAAGGGGTTTTCGGGGTGGGGAAATAGGATAGGCAGTGAAAGAAGTTTGTAGAAGTAAGTGGAAAAAATGTAGTTGGATTTGTTTCCAGCGGCCGCTGGGAGAAAGTTGTTCCGCACGGTAAGTTAGACCTCAGGTAAGTTGAAGTAGACCACCTCCTAACCACTATTTCTATTTTTTCAGGAATTTCAAGAAACCTGCATTGGTATAATTGGGTTTTCTGCACTACGCTTAACGATAGTACAGATTAGGAAAATCTAAAGCTATAAATCAACAACATTTCTAAATGCAATAAAATAAAAATGCATATAGGTGTTGTTTAAGTATATTCTAGTGCCTATCCTATTTCGCATCCCCAAAATCCCTACAACCACCGTTCCCATAGGACAAAATGCTGGGACAAGGGGTATATGAGATGCACTACATAAAGTACCGTTGTCCTGTTCTGAACACTTGCGAATGAGTTCCAGTAAGCCCGACTTTCCCATGGTCTTCCCTACTCTGCCTTCTTATGGGCAACTTGGTCCAGAGATAAAATAAATCGAAATCTATATTTACTATGCAACGTCAATCCTCCTACAGACTACTTTGCTATTTCATGCACAGAAGCCGTTTGTATAGGTAAAATCCCTGAAGCAGGAAAGATCTCACAAATGTTTGGCTGACCGTGTAAGTCAATCATA